AAGGGCGCGATGGTGTAGGGGGGGGGGGGGTCGCCCCTCTCTCCTCGCGTCCTCGTCGCCCTCCTACTACTCCTGACCTTCCTCCACCTTCTCCTTTCGCCCTGTCCTCCTCCCTCCTTCCATCTCCTCCGAACCTTTCCCCTTCCTTGCCCTCCTGGCGTCGATGACCCCCCCCCCCATCCACCCTCGCTGCCCCTGCGGGGCGTCGCGAACCCCTTGTGGGCGGGCGGCGGGGAATGGAGGGGGGCGGCGTCTCGAGTTAGGGATCGACCCGTTGTTGACCTCGAACTCGAGACGCCGCCCCTCCCATTTCCCATCCTGCCTTCCTGGAGGAGAAGCTCGCGGCGCCTTCGTGCACTTGCGGCTGGGGTCCCGCGCAGCAGGCCCCGCGGACCCAGAAGCGGGCGCCGCGGGAGAGGGGGGGGGGGGATCGGGGGGGGGGAGAGAAGGAGGGGGGGATAGAAGAGGATGAGGGCCAGGAAGAGGAGGGCGGGGCAAGCGGGACGATCCCCAGACATCCCTTGTAGCGGCTGGGCCAAAGGTGGCCCCTGGAAATGCAGTGAAACCCTGCAGCGGGCCCTCGAGGGGCCAAAGTGGCAGGGGGCTTGAGAGCCAAACGTTGTTCGGGAACCCATCCTGGCACCAGTTCCCCCCCCTCGAATCGCCGGCGCCTAGCGCCGCGACCGCCCCTCAGCCCGAGGTCGGCTACCGCGTGGGCGCCAACTGCGCGAGCGGCAGGCCCGAGTGCAGCAACCAGGCGGTGGCGGACCTGGCGCATCCCGACGCGGAGGTGACGGTCACATGGGCAGATGGGCACAGCTGGGCGGTACCAGGCATCACGAACGGAGAGCTCGGCGAGGCCCGCAAGGAGAAGAAAGGCTCGGGAGTCTCGCGGCAAGGAGACCACGCGGGCGAGCAGCAAGTGCAGGCCAGCGCGTGGGAAAAGAAAGGAGCAGACGAGCGCGGCGTCTGGGCAAGGGCCGCGGGCCCCCCCAGGTGGAAGATGGTCGTGCAACTGAAAGTGCAAGGCGAGATCACCGATGACACGCGCGCCTTTGTGGTTAAGCTGGCCCAGGGTTTCGCGCTGGATGGCTTGAGCAAGGCGCAGCTGGAAGAGCGCAAGCTCGAGTACCTGAAGAAGCTCGAAGGGGGCGCGCCAGTCATGAGGAGGCCAGCTGCAGCCAAGCCAGCCGCAGCCAAGAAGACTTCGACACCGAAGGCGGAGCCGCAGAAGGCAGCATATGATGATGATGATGATGATGATGATGATGATGATGATGACGAGGCAGGCATCGACAAAGAGGATTGCGCAGAGCATGAGGCAGGCTCAGAAGATGAGGGCGCAGACGGCAAGCCAGGGGGCAATTTTGATTCAGACGACGACAGTCCACCACCGGCAAAGCGGCGGCCAGCGGCGGCAGCAGCGCGCAAGCGGCCCTCGGCGGCAGAGGGGGCAGCAGTGGCGGAGGCGGCGGCGGCTTCGCCAGCGCAGGGCGCGGAGGAAGGAGAGGCGGCGCTTGCTGCGGCGGCCGCGCCATCGACTCGGTCTTGTCCTGCTGCAGCGGCGGCGATCCAGGCTCCTCCTCTCTTCTCTCTTCTCCTCGTCTTCCTTCTCATGCTCCTGCTTCCCCCCCTGCTTCTGCGCTCCTCCTTCCCAGAGGCGGCGGAGCCCGACGCCGCCGACGGCTTCGAGTGCGAGAGCCAGAGCGACGGCCAGGCCGACGTCGTCGAGGGCGAGGTCGAGGGCCAGGCCGAGGGCGCCGCCGATGGCCCCGAGAGTTTCTACGAGGACAGCAGCGACGACCGCCAGCTCGGGGGCGGGCTTTTCTGAGCGGGCGCCCCCCGACCCCGCGGCGGCGGAGGGGGGGGGGGGGGGGCGGGGGGGGGGGGGAGGAGGCGGAGGGCGAGGAGGAGGAGAAGAGGGTGGCACGAGGGGGGTAAGAAGGCGGAGGCGGAGGAGGAGGGGGGGGAGGAGGCCGACAAGAGGTCTCGAGGGATCACATTTTACAGTTCGGGTTTGCGGTCGGGTGCAAAGTGCACTCGAATGTTCGGCCGTTTGCTCGGGCCCACCGCCGCCTCGGAGCGGGGCAATCGGCTCGTCCAAAAACAAATTGCCTTTTCCGTCGACGGCCCTGCCCCTATAAGCCATCCCCCTTCCTAGATCTGGATATTCCACGCCCCCCCCCCTCCCCCCGCCTCCCCCTTCGTTCCAGGTGCGCGGGGGGAGGGGGGGGGGGGGGGGGGGGGGGGGGGGGGCGTCGCGGGGCCATGCAGCGGGGGGGGAGGGGGGGGCGCGACGGCCGCCGACCTCAGCAGTTTTGAGGCCCGAGCCCGCCGCCCCCCCCTTCAGTTAAAGCGAATCGCATGTTTCAGATGTCGCAAGCAGAGACGATGGCCGCCGCCGTGGAGATTCCGAGTTCTTCGGAGGCGCGGCCGGCCGACAGTCGGAGAGGGGTGGCCCGGGGGGGGGGGATTTCAGGGTTCGGCCGTCCACGTCGCCGACGTGACGATGGGGGGGCGGGGGTCCGATTCGCAGGGCGCCAGTCGATGGTCGTTGACGCGCTGACGAACCAGCGCGAAAAAGCGCGCGGGTGGGGGGCAGAGGCAGACGGCCGCGGGCTGCCTGTCCGAGGCCCCCCTCTCGCGCGTCTTCAACGCGCGGGTTCTCAGCGCGTTGGCGACCCGTCGGCTGCGCGATCGCCCATGCCGATGTCGCTACGGGGCCGAGAGGCTGCAGCAGAGCCAGAGGGAGAGCAGCAGGGAGCTTGGTTCTGCGGCGAGCGCCCGGCCGAGGAGCGCGAGGCTGCCTAAACAAAGCGACGAACCCACATCCATGGACATCCTCGGGACGTCGGCGTCGAGGGGGAGGGGCAGGAAGGGGTGGCATCTTTCGAGTGGACGGGTCGGGAGAAAGGGGCGGCGCGGCGGGCGGGCCCCACCGCCTATAGGACACCTTGCCCGACAACGATGCCGCCTTCATGGGCATGGACGTCAGCGCGCTGGCAGCCCGGAGTCGGCAGGAGCCCCAGGGGGTCCTCACTTCCTTCTCGCTTCCCTGTCGATGCTGCCACTGTTGCTGATCATCCTTGCTGCTGCTGCTGGTACTCCTTGCTCCTGCTGTTGTTCCTTGCCGCCCTCTGCCCTGCTTCGTGCTGCTGCGGCCGCTGCTGACCCTTCCTTCCCCTCCTCGCTTCTGGCCGACACGGGGATCCCCCTCCTCCTATCCTCCTCCTCCTATCCTCCGCCTCCCAGTTGTGCCAGCTTTGCTTCTTATGTTGTGGGAGGGCGGGTGGGACTGGGCATGCCATGCTTGACTCGCTCGAGCTGGCTAGCTTGACTCCTCCTCCTACTCTTCCTCCTCCTCCTCCTCCTCCTCCTCTTCCTCCTCCTCCTCCTCCTCATCTACCCCCATCGTCGTTGTCGTCTCCTTCCTCCTCCTCCTCCTCCTCTTCCTCCTCCTCCTCCTCCTCCTGGGCCTTGATGTTCAGATTTCTTCTCGGGTGCCGCGAGGCGTTCGGCTTTCAATTGCGCGCGCTGGTGCGATTCCCGAAATCGCACCAGGGCGCGCTAGTGAGACGTTTTGCGTGGACCCTCAGGATATCATCGATACCTTCGGAGAGCAGGCCGGCGCGCTGATGGCAGAGGCAGGCCTTCATGCCGACGGTTCGCTCGGCGAGGTCGAGGCGGTCTGCGTCGGCGAGGCCGAGGGCGCCCCCCGCGCGCGGACGGCGAGCTGGGTGGTTGGCGACGCGGCGGAGGAGGCGGCGGCTTTGGCACCAGTGCGCGAGGTGCCGCATGCGAAGGGGCCGACGATGCAGTCGCCATGGCTCTTGCCGCCAAGCAAGCGCGCCCGCCTGGCCGTTGCTGTGCGCGCGCAGCAAGCCTTGGGCCAGGAAGTCATCGACGCTCAGACGGCCACCGACGAGCGCGAGCGGGCCAGGCGCGAGGAGGCCGAGCGGGCCTTGCACGCTCGCCGCGCGGCACTGGAGCAGGCCAAGGCCGAGGCGCTCGAGCAGGCCAAGGCCGAGGCGCTCGATGTCGAGCAGGCCCCGCGCGACGCGCTCGAGCAGGCCAGGGCCGAGATCGAGCAGGTCAAAGCCGAGGCGCTGAAGCAGGCCAGGGCCGAGGCGCTTGAGCAAGCCAAGGCCGAGGCGATCGAGGCGGTCGAGGAAGCCCAGAGGGGGGCCCGTGCCGAGGCGGTCGAGCAAGCCAAGAGGGAGGCGCTCGAGCAGGCCAGGCGCGAGATCAGCGTGGCAGCCGCAGCAGCGGCGCAGGCCGAGAAGGCCACGGTCGCGGCGATCACGCGCGGCGTGAGCAAGATGGAGTAGGCAGTTGAGGCCCCGCAGTCCCCGATGCCTAGCGCAGACGCTGCAGGCGCGTCGACCGAGGGCGCGGGCAAGGAGGTCGCAGGCGGCGCTGGATCAAGTCGCGAGGGGCAGAAGCTGAAGCTCCGCGATGCGATCAGCACCAAGGCGCGCAGGCGCCAGCGTGGCGGAGACCAGTCCAGCCCCAGCGAACTGGACGAGGCCGATGAGAAGCGCCAGGCCATCATGATACACAACGAGCGCAAGCACGTCTTGGCAAAGTTCTTGGCCTACGAGCAGGAGAAGAAGGCTAAGGGCGAGGCTGAGGCTCGCGAGCTTGAGGCTGAACATGACGAGCGGGAGAAGATCATCGGAGGACGGGGATCGGATGATACCTGCTCAACTTGCGCAATTGACTCGTTTGAAAACAGAGCGAAGAGGCACAACCAGCGGGAATGCTCTCAGTGTGCTGATTCGGATGCCGAGACGCCTTATATCCCTGAGTTGCTGACGTGCGAGTTCGCCATGGCCATGGAGTTGAAGGAGCAGCAAGAACAGGATCGACTGGGTGAACTTCACGCTGCGCCGTTCCCCGACTCGGTCGACCACGGCGACGCGCCCCCGACGCCGACTGCCTCGCCGACGACGCCATCGTCGAGCTTGCGATCGGTGTCTCTGCCGCGCGCGGCGGCCAAGGCAGCGCCTGCCGAGTCAGCTGCGCCGCGCGTGGAGCCCGCGCAGCCGAAGGAGGGCGATGCTGCATGGGCGTCGGCCTCTGCAGCAGCTTTCCCGCCAACTCGTCCGCCCGCGACGCCCCAGTCGCAACCGGTGCCGCCCCAGCCCGCGGCCGAGGAGCCAGCTACGGACAAGCATATTCTGATGAAGCGTGTGAACGCTCAGATACACCGCGTCATGGAGACTGCGAAGGATTTGGCAGGCTGCGAACCCGAGAAGTTCGTCCTCGAGGATGCCACGCAGAAGGCTGAGCAGTCCATCTCGCAGCTATGCCACTCCGACCTCGTGAAGAAGCTGAATGCTTTGCATGCTGCTGACGCGAAGCTCTTGGATGACGCAAAGGGCAAGGGAGCGCAGGAGGAAGACGACTTCTGGGGCGCCATGAAGAAGGTCGACTTTAACTTCGGGACCGCCTGCACTTCGGGCAACGGCATTGCGGGCCGCTGGGCTCGGGCCTTGAAAGCTGACGGCGATTTGGCGAAAGAGTATCGCTCTAGGCAGGGGTGCCTCCAGAAGGCCGAGTTTCGCGCAGCCTGGGCGAAGGGCAAGTACGACAAACACCAGATGGCCAGGGGTCGCTCTAAAGAGGAGAAGCACGTCAAAGCTGAAGTAAAGAATGGAACCTACGTGTCCTTGGGCCGCTTGGCGTGGCTCGAGGGCGGAGGTGCGAGCGGCGTGAGGATCGCCGTCCGCTACGCGACGAACTGCGCGATCATGGGCGGCGTCGGTGCTCGTGGGGCGAAATGGGCGAGGTCCTCAAGTACCTGCACGTCCAGCACAGCCTCCGCGACGAGTTCAAGCGTTGCTGGAGGGCGTGGGAGGAGTGGGCCTCGGAGCCAGGTGCCGACGAGGCCCGTGCAGCTGCGCAGCTATCGGCCGCCGCGGCTGGGCAGCCGGCGGGAGCTGCGCCCCTGACGCCGCGGTCAGAGCCCGAGGGGAAGGCGCCCAGCCCAGCGCCCAGCCCAGCGCCCAGCCCAGCGCCCAGCTCAGCTCCAACGCCCACCAACCCCAGGGGGAAAGGTGGCGGTGGCGCTAGCGGTGGCGGCGGCGGCGGGGGCGGCACCCCTGTCACCCAGCGGGCCGCCAAGAAGTCGACTGCCAAGCAGTTTCAGGAGATGAAGTGTTCCTACCAGAAGGCCAACAGCGAGTGCAACTCCATCTGCAAGATGCTCAAGTCCGACCCCAACTGGCAGTGAGCCGACAACGAGGTCATGATGGGCCCGTTGCACACCGCGGACTCGAAGGCGCCGCTTCAATCCTCAATCCTCTCCTCCGCCTTCTTCATCCGCCTCCGTTCCTTTGCCCCCCCCCCCCCCCAGCCCCACCTCGGCCTCGGAGGGGGGCGGGGGGGGGGGGGGGGGCGGGGGGGGGGGAGGCGCGATCGCGGGAGGGGGGGGGGATGATGAATGGGGCGGGCGAGGCAGGAGAAGGGGGTGGCAGGCCATAGCGATATCAAGACGCTCAAGGTACGAAGGGTGGGAACTTGATTGAGGGTTCAGGGGGGGCGGGGAAGGATGGCGGTGGAGGTGGCGCGGGGTGGGTCATCATGAGACGGGTCGGCCCTCGAGGGCCTGCATTCGAACGGGGCCTCCTCGAGGGCCTGCGCTCGAACGGGGCCAGGGAGAGAGTCCGTGGGGGGAGAGAGGCCTTAAGAGTTGAACGCCCCGAGGTGCAAGAGGTCCTGGCTAAGGACCGCGAGTTCACGACCTGCCTCGCTGGCCAGTTCGCGAACCTGAAGGCGCAGTTCGGGGATGAATAGTTCGAGACGGTCTTGGCACGCGGGGTGATCATGCTCAAGGAGCCGATCGGACAGCTCGACTGCAAATGCCGCACGCTGGTCGCCCAGCACAATGCCCGCATGGCCGAGGGCAGCGCCTCGGCCGCTCCCAAGAAGAAGGCCAGGAAGGCCGTGTAGCTCTCTATGGGGTTGATCAGTGCATAGGATCGAGGGTTGCACGTATATTTTTCAATGCACAGCTCGAAGGGGGCCTCGAGCGCCGCACGAACGTGCAATCGCTAATTCAGGCTGGGTTGGTGGGCTCGGGGACCTAGAAGGGGCGATCAGACGCTCCATGCACTCAGAAATTCCCATCCATCCTGTGGTGTTGGGTCCTCGTTTTGAAGAGACGGTCCCCGCGTTCCTCCTCCTCCTCCTCCTCCTCCTTCTCCTCGCCCTCCTCCTTCCTGCGTTCGCATGCCTCCCCGCCGCCCATTTCGGCGCACCCCTCGCACGTTTCGTGGCCCCATAGGCAGCTCCACCGAAGGCCTCAGTGGCTGCGTTCGCATGCCTCCCCACGACCCATTTCGGCACACCCCTCACACGTTTCGTGGCCCCATAGGGAGCTCCACTGAAGGCCCCAGTGGCTGCGTTCGCATGCCTCCCCACCACCCATTTCGGCACACCCCTCACACGTTTCGTGGCCCCATAGGGAGCTCCACCGAAGGCCCCATGGCTGCGTTCGCATGCCTCCCACCACCCATTTCGGCACACCCCTCACACGTTTCGTTTCAGGGAGCTCCACCGAAGGCCCCAGCAGGCTGCGTTTCGCATTCCTCCCCACCCCGGCCCTCACACCACACGAAGGCCCCAGTGGCTGCGTTCGCTGCCTCCCCACCACCCATTTCGGCCACACCCTCACACGTTTCGTGGCCCATAGGGAGCTCACCGAAGGCCCCAGTGGCTGTCGTTCGCATGCCCCCCACCCCCTTTCGGCACACCCCTCACACGTTTCGTATAGGGAGCTCCACCGAAGGCCCCAGTGGCTGCGTTCGCATGCCTCCCCACCCACCCATTCGGCACACCCCTCACACGTTTCGTGGCCCCATAGGGAGCTCCACCGAAGGCCCCAGTGGCTGCGTTCGCATGCCGGCCCACCACACATTTCGGCACACCCCTCACACGTTTCGTGGCCCCATAGGGAGCTCCACCGAAGGCCCCAGTGGCTGCGTTCGCATGCCTCCCCACCACCCATTTCGGCACACCCCTCACACGTTTCGTGGCCCCATAGGGAGCTCCACCGAAGGCCCCAGTGGCTGCGTTCGCATGCCTCCCCACCACCCATTTCGGCACACCCCTCACACGTTTCGTGGCCCCATAGGGAGCTCCACCGAAGGCCCCAGTGGCTGCGTTCGCATGCCTCCCCACCACCCATTTCGGTCACACCCCTCACACGTTTCGTGGCCCCATAGGGAGCTCCACCGAAGGCCCCAGTTCGCATGCTCCCCACCACCCATTTCGGCACACCCCTCACACGTTTCGTGGCCCCATAGGGAGCTCCACCGAAGGCCCCAGGGAGCTCCACCGAGCTCCACCGAAGGCCCCAGTGGCAGGGTCCGCATGCCTCCCCACCACCCATTTCGGCACACCCTTCACACGTTTCGTGGCCCCATAGGGAGCTCCACCGAAGGCCCCAGTGGCGCGGTGCCTATGAGAAGAGGGGCCTAGTTTGCGTGCCCCCTCCTTCGTCTCATATCCGTGCGGTACTCGCAGCTGCATATGGTTGGGTCCTTCGCCAGGCTAATTTTGTTTTTTGGGGCGTCGGCTGACGCGCGGCACGCTCGACCACCGAAACGACCCGTATACGCTACCGTCGAAACTACCCATGTAAACTACCCGTATAAACTAGCACTTTACATGTAAAACCACATGGTTTCCTACGCCCCAGGGTGCATATAAACTACCGGCTAAAGTGCACATGAATTTCCTGAGGCCTTCCAGGGGGTGGTGGAGAGCGTGCTTGCGACGAAAGATTTTGTGATCTAGATGTTGGTGAGTTCAGCCGACAGGGTGCGACGGCGATCGGGGTGCGGTGCTGGGGTCTGCGCCGAAAGACAGCTGTTCGCAGCTCACTTCTCAAGCCCCGCGCGCCCTGCGCCAGTCTGCGCGATGTGACAGCGAGGGCCGCCGAGGGATTCAAGGCAAAATGACTCCAACAAAGCAATCGCACATATGCAATATCTCACTGCAACCCGATGCAACGCCCGTGCGCACTGCGGGCGCGCTTTGAGACACTTGGGGCTTTGACGTGGCGTGGACCCCACGTGCAGTGTTGGTCGGGTGTTGACAACGTGAAACGTGAAATTGTGGAGCACCTGCGATCATGATACGCCCTCGGGCGTAGATTTCACTCGATGCAAGCATTGTTTTGGCATTCGCGCCACTGCCCGCCCGCTCAATGAAACTGAATGCAGGGTGGAGGATGGTGATGCGCTTTGGTAGCGACTTGGAGAACGGCAGGGGTTGGAGGCACAGTTGACAGCGACTGACGAGGATGATATGGCAGAGGATGATCAACACGAGATGAGACTTGATGCTCGGGCGCTTGATAAGCTGGAGAGCCCGGCGGGATCTGTTGGGAAGATCGGGAGGGGATGAGGAGGATGATGGGGATGCGGATGAAGAGGAGGATGAGGTTGAGGTGGCGGAGGGGATTGGAGGGAGGAAGAGGAAGTGGAGGGGGAGGGGGAGCCGAAGAGGTGGCGTCAGTGTGTCTCTCTGAGAGGAAAGTAGATCGAGCGCCATCCTTCAGGATTGAAGGAACGATGTCAAAGATGGCCGTCCTGGACATTCGATTGAGTTTGTGGGATATGCTCGAATTAGAGAGGGCTGACTCGTAGGGTTAGGCTGAGAGGATGTTTGGTCGCGAGAAAGCCATCATGCATGTTTGCATGGCGCTGATCCTGGGGGTTGTCCTGGGTCCCTGATAAACCTGATATCTCGTCATGCCCGCTGGTTCTCGACCCTGTCGTTTCCGAGCCTCCCCACTCCCCCGCGGGCCCCGCTGGTGGCCTCGGCGCCTCGTCTTGGGCAAGACCAGCTCCTCGTTCAGTCTGATCTCGAACGCCTGTGCGGGCGTCCCTTACCCTCGCGCTCATCCCTCCTCGCCCTGACCTCCCTCGCTTCTCCACCGATCCCTCGCCCCCCCCCCCCCCCCCCCCCCCCCCGACTCGCCCGCCCAAGCTCGCCCCGCATTGGGTCCAACCGCGCCCTACCCCCCTGGCCCGTCCTTGATCAGAGCAGCGGCGCGTCATCGTTCGTCGCAGCGCGCATAGCTTCCCCGTCAAGTCATGACTCCGCCAGAACCGAAGCGCCAACGCAGGGCCCGCTTCCAGGGTTGCGATGGCGGCGACGACGCAGAGCGCAGATGTGTCGCACGTGCTGCGGGGTCTGCCATATTCAAGAAATTACTCAGCATGTATGGTGCTTGCAAAATCATGTCTGCAAAGGACCTGTGTGAGTTATGTTATCACCTTGATGGTGCAGGGGTTGAAGGAGCTGATTTCAGTTTATTCAATGTTGCGCCGGTCAACAATCAGGCAAGTGCAAGGCGTGGCTTGATGAAGTCCCCCCGCAGACGTTCACTTTTGTTGACGTGGAGATACCCGCTCGCGCGCAAGGTCGGGCAGAGCGAACGTATCACACCATTCCCATTGCTGTGGTATATAAATCATTGGCCGATGAGTTTAACGAGAACCCGTTGATTGAAGAGAGCCTTGAGAGAGGGACGGCGTACCGCACGTCTCATTTGGCAAATCGCGCATACCTCAGCCACCCGACTGTTGAGGGGGCATTGGCAGCTGGAAAGAATTACGCTCCCCCGATTGCATTTTACTGCGATGGCATTCGGTTCGCGGCTATGCAGTCTAGGCCAGACTCCATACTTGGCATATCGATCACCAACCTTTTGACGAGCAGACACCACCTGGTGGCGGCTGTGCGCGCTGGGGACATGTGCACTTGCGGCTGCGGCGGGTGGCGCTTCATACGCATCATCCTCCGTGCAGTAGCGTGGCAGCTGCGTGCGCTCAAGGACGGCAATTCTCCTGCTACGAAGCCTGGCGGCTCTGCGTGGGAT